CTGTGAACAGTCTAAAATCATGCCGACTAGAAATAAACCGCAGAAAATCAATAAGCGTGTCACGACCCCTCAGTATAAAACAAACGGCAAAATTAATGAATATTTGCTCAGTCATAATCTACCCGCTGCTCAGGTAAATTAAGGCATGGGTCCCCAATGATTCAGTAAAAAAGTGATGGGGGTGGTCTATCTCTGATCACGTAAGCAGTAGAAAGATGAAACTTTGCCAGATACATACATGTGTGGTTTCTGTCAATTAGGTGATGTTCAATTATGCAAATGTTGTCACGGCCAGAAAACAATAAACCTCAATAAAAAGTCTTTAAACAAAAATGCCACAGCCCATCATAATGATGCCATACTCCATTCACCAAAACAGCCCCTCTGTAGTGCCCTCCACTCCAAAATGAGACTACTAAGAACTAACTCTTCAGAGGAGACTTTCGTAGAAAACATAACAATATTCAAACTACGCCTTCGAGCGAGAGGCTACCCGAACAACCTTATAGAAAAAACGCTCTCGGAAGTAAAATTCCCTGACAGACAGAAAGCTCTCAAGGATAATACAAGAGTGCAAAAAGAAATATTGCCCTTTGCAACGCAGTACAACCCATCTGTGCCTAACCTTAAACACATTTTAATGGAGAAATGGCATCTTATAGAATCACAACCTAAACTAAAAGAAATGTTTAAAGAAACTCCAATTATTTCTTATAAGAGAGGCATTTCATTAAGAGATAAACTGGTTAGAGAAAAACTGTAGTGAATCTCTTTAACACCACGTGTAGATAAGTATAAATTACATCCATGCGACACGTTTGCGGGATCTGTGAATGGCCTGTCACTATTTATTTACCAGGCGATAAGACCCATACTCTAATTTTATTGTGGGCACAAATAATTTTATAGAATATATTTACAAAGATACCAAGTTCTAATATTTATATTTTTATTATAAATTTTATATGTTGAAAAGTTTAATATTGAAACTGTTTATGGATAATTAAATGTATTTATGATATTTATTATAATACAGGATACACACTGTGTGTTGCAGGCCTGACTGCTAATGAAAACCATACTTTGTGGTTCTTAATTTTTGTTAAAAGTACCGGTGGCAGTGTTGCTGTTTATGTCGTTGACAGTTAAAGTTTTAACACTTACTCGTACGTGTGAATGCACTTTTTCATTGTATTATAGAATTCTTATTCAAGGCGGTAAGACCCATCCTCTAATTTTTATTTTGGGCACAAATAATTTTATAGAATATTTCCAAAGCTACCAAATTCTAATATTTATTTATTACAAATTTTATTTTATTATTTTTATTATAATACAGTGTACAGTGTATGTTGTAGGTACACTTCTAACTGCAATTTAAAACAAAAACAAGGTTGTTTCCTTTGTCTCCTTTCAATAAGAAGAAAGTGATTTTTGTTTATTCATATTGTGCCTGGTAATATTGTTGATTTCTGAAACTCAGACATTCTGAAAAAGTCACAATTGGACCTTCCTTCTGCATGAATTTTTTTCTTTACCTTATTCTTTGCATGAATTTTTTTTCTTGGCATTTTCCCTTGCATGAATTTTTTTTTGTTTTTTTCCCCACCCCCCCCCCCATCACTTTTCTAATGGTCCGTCCCTAATAGACCACTAGTTGGATTTTACTAAATACATATATATGTCTCTCGAAGAATATAAACTGCATTTTGAAGAATACATAAACTAAAAAGTATCCAAAAAATCAGAATACAGTTTAAAATTCAGATTTCATAAGTTATGGAAAATTATGCAAATCTCGATGTTTGTAATCCCCCAATTTCTGGCTGCACGTGACGTCACGGCGGCCATGTTGATGGTTTAGAACAAAATCATTTCTCTCCTCTGCGAACTAAACTATATTTTCTAGTCAATTCTTCGAGAAAAAATTATTCTCTATTGACCTCCAACATGGCCGCCTTGTCACGTGGTTTCAAACCAAAAGTAGCTCGCCCCTTGGCCAAAAACTCCCTCTTCTACTTGTAGCTACTTAATTCTTTATAGCTTACTCAGTTTCGCCCAATAAGAGTTAATTTGCATACAACTAGAATTAAAGTTATTATTGGGCGATTTCTAATCATTATCATACTACTGTGTGTTTTCAAAGGATCTACCGGCTAACAATAATTGCGATTGTGCGGCCGTGATTATTCTTCCCACACCATTTGAAGCTGTGTTTGTTCGCATTAATCCGACCTCCTGGCAAAACAGCATTGCCCTGAAAGTTGAGTTTTATGGATGCAGACTGGGTCAGCCTGCTATTCCAGGTAAAATGGANTTGCTCAGTCTTCTCGCTGCTCGACAGAGTGGCGATGGAAACGAAATCAGTTGTGGCATTTGCAAGAAAAAGAGCGCAGAGATAAGTTACTGCTTCGAATGCGCTAAATTCATGTGCAGTGACTGTGTAAACGCACATCAACTGTTTACAAACCTCACAGAAGGACACAAGGTGACTCCAGTCAAACAGTTCCAACCTCAAGACTACGAAGCCCTGATGAAGAGGCAGTCATTTTGCTCGCAGCAGTATCACGAACGAGAGATTGTAAGATTTTTCTGCCTGAAATGCAAACTGTGTGTTTGCCAAATTTGCATCGCTACGGATCACAAGTCACACGAGGGCCATGCTGTAGAACTACTGGATAAAGTGGCGGACGGCGAGAAAGTCAACATCCTAGAGAGAGCAGACAAGTTAAAAGAAAAGACCAAACTTTACAGGGATGCGATTTTCAAGCTTGAACAAACAGAGCTTGAGCTGCATACAAATATTACTAATGTTAAACATGAAGTTTCCCAGACAGCGGAACAAATCATTGCCAAGATTCGTGAAAGTGAACGCGAGATTATCACCCTTCTCGAGAACATGCGCGAGACTCGATTGGAAATGTTAAACTCGGCAAAGACACAAGTACAGTCCTTGCTAAAGCAGATCAACCAAGCAGTCGAGTTTGCTGAACAACTGGTGCAAAAAAGCTCCAGTTCGGACATAATGCAAAACAAAGCAAAACTACGGCAGCGTTGCAACGAACTTGAAAGTGCTCCCATCCCAGAACTTCCGGCCAATTCCTTTATGAAGTACTTTCCGAATTTGGCAGTTGAAAAATTTAGCGTTGGCTGCGTAGCAACAGGTGAACCGATCATCAAAGGACTGAATCAAGATATCCAAGCTGGTGTAGAATCAGAGTTTGAAGTTAACCCCAGAATCCCTAAAGAACAGGCGCATGGAGTTAAAGTCAAATTCCAATGTGAGGTGCTCATGGAACCCGCTGAGAAGGTAGGAAGTTTGAGAACGTACGAGAATGAAGGGGCTACACTGGTGAAGTTTGTACCTAAAGTTCCTGGTACTTTTAACATCACAGTCAAAATAGATGGGAAGGTTCTTTCAAGCAACACTTTCCAGGTGAAACAACGGCTCATTCGGGTTTTGGAGGATTTGGAATTAAAAAACGAAACTTTTGAAAAACCAAGAGGGTTGGCTGTAAACAGCAAAGGGCAAATTGCTGTTGTTGACAGCGGAATACACTGTGTTCTCATAACTGACATGAAAGGAAACTGTCTACGAAAAGTAAGTTGCCATGGAAACGAGGAAGGACAACTAAACAGTCCAAGCGACGTTACCTACCTAAATGATGATAACATTCTTGTGGCGGATCAATTAAATCATTGCATTCAACAATTTGATGTTCAAACTGGAAACTTTGTGAAAAGCTTTGGGAAGAGAGGCACAAGAGACGGGGAGTTTCAGAATCCTGTCAGTGTTTGTGTGGATGATGAAGAACGCGTTATCGTGACTGACTGGTGTAACAACAGAATCCAAGTCTTATCACAGGATGGTAAACCTTTGTTTAAAGTTGGAGACAGTGGACCAGGAAAACTGAACGACCCCTTTGACTGTATTTGCCATGAAAACAAGTTCATTGTTTCTGACTGGAGTGATAATTCTGTGAAACTTTATGATAATACTGGAAAGTTTTTGTATAAGATCATGATAAGAAAGCCACGTCAGGGTAATGAACAATTGCTGGGTCCATGGGGACTGTGTCTCCAGAAATGTGTCGATCACCATAATCTTCTTGTATGTAACAGAAACAATGGTTGTGTTGACCAGTATACATTGGAGGGTTGTTTTACTGGAAAAACTGATTATAAGGTTAAAGGTCTCACAAGAATAACTACAACACCGGATGGCCTTATTTTAGTTTCGGACTGGGAGTCCAAACAAATATGTATTCTAAAATAGTACGTGAAAAAATTGTCAAAGAGAAGCCAACCCAAACCGAAACGGAAAACACTGAGATGTACTCACTAAAAAGCTATATCGCAAATATAGAATACTTCATAGAAAGTTCTGCGCTGCGGAATGTGCGCGGTTTTTCGACATAATACGAGTGGAGAAATTACGTTTTACAACTCGTATGAGTGGATAGTTGTTTCGATTCGACAGAGTTGTAAAGTGGAAAATGCATCTCACTAAGTCTGGCTAAGAAGATGCATTTGTCCACTCTAAAGCGGTGTTTGTCGAGTCGAAAATCATTTGTAACAGTTCGGGTCACTTAAAATTTTTGCAACTGACATGGAAAGTATAGATATCTTCAAGTCATACACGGTCCTTTTTCACTTTAGCACCACGTACGCGGAACTACCATGCAGGCCACCACAACTATGAAAAAAAGATTTCACCGATGCAAATTATCTTTCAGAGCTAACACATCTTTATCAGTAGATGGCTCTAGACCTGTACACATCTCTCAGTTATAAAAAACCCAGCCAGCGGGATTGTGAATAAAATAAACACCTATACCGTATTATTCGATTAAACGCCTCGGCGTTTAATGAATTTTTTGCTATTCAAGTGCAGCGTTTAGTCGAAGGCGGCGTTTATTTCAAAATCACGTTTTCTTAAAATCATTGACATCAATTACGATAAATCATTTTTAAATATCAAGTAAAACAGACCAAATGTTTAATGCTCAATGTCTCGCGTTTCTTTTTTCGTGAGAGAGTCATTATTGTCTGGTTGATATTCATTGTACAAAGTAGTGCCGGGTTTTCCTCAAAATCCTCGATTAAACGCCGCATTCGTCTTATTTGGTGCGGCTTATATTTTTAACTTTGCTTCCGTCTGCGCCGTTAAATAGAGGGTGGCGTTTATTCAAGTAATTACGGTATACGAGTCTACGACGTGTTTACGTGAACTTTTCCATATGTACATTTCTATTTCTACGGATATATTTTTCTTCATGGTAGTTCTAGTTTCTAAATAAAAACTGTTAACTTATATCATATCTGACGCAGCTAAAACATTTTAATATTACCAACTTACAGACTATTTCACCATTTTACATAACAGTGAATGAACAGAAAGGCTGAAATGTCTAGAGCAATTCACAATAACCCTGTTGATGCAAGTATTATACGAGGGGGGCGTTGGGATTTTCGGTTTTTCGGTTTTGGCCATTTTCTAGGTCGGTTTTTCGGTTTTTGCAATGAAAAACTTCGGTTTTTCGGCTTTGTTGTCCGTTGTGCTTTCCGGTTTTCCCCTTTTTTAGCATCTGGTTTTCGGTTTTTTGGCAAAAACAACGCGGTTTTTCGGATTTTGGTGACCGATGTGGATTTCGGTTTTTTCAATTTGGAAGGACGTCAAAGACAAACCTGCACGGGCTCCCAATGCGGTTTTTGTGGTTGTGTCGCATTATCAACTGCCTTCAAGTTACAATTTTGCTCTTACAAGCACGTCTTTTCTGATATGATCAGAGGTCCCAAAAATTGTTTTCAGCAGAGGCTGATTTTCTATTTTAGACTCCAGTTTGCCATTAATTTCTTTTAAGATCTTGTACCGCTGGGTGATACCGGAAAGGCAATATTAATAGTCTCTCTTTAATTTTTGCTTTTGTTTTATTAAGTCAAAGTTGACCTCTGACAATAGCCTGTGTACACATGCTTTCTTTTTCTATTTTTTTTAAAGAGTTTGTTCTAAGCAATCTTATTGTTTCGCCTTTAATGCCACCCCGGAGGGTGGCACGAGGTACATTGTATATCAGTCGAAAGGTTTCAGTCGGCTTGTAATTGGTTTTGATGTCCACAAAAACCACATTGAGAGTCCGTACAGTAGGCCTGTCTTTAACTTCCTTCCCGGGTTAGATTCCTCTGTTGGTCTGTGTGCAGTCACATGTTTGGCTACTTTATATATTTCTATTTTACAGTCAATCCAGGTCAAACTGGAATGTGGGATTTTGGATTTTTAATGGGGGTGTACACCTGAAAAACACGGATTCAAACTTTTAGAATTGCGGCGGGCTTCGAATCATCTTATTGTTGATCTCAGTTGAAGCAACATGTAGTCGCGGCTTCAATGGCAAAATCCTCGTTCCACATCCACTTTCGCTGCGGTTGTTAAGACAAATTAGAACAGAAAATGGGACTGGCCCCCAATAACAGGTGCAGTGTAGGACAATCAAACGAACTTGTATTTCAATAAATAACCGCAGAGGACAATCATTTGTCCGACAGCTTCACATGACGATCTTAATATCTGGGTTTACTCAAACTTTCAATATATCATTGAGTATTCAGTCTTTATTTATTCTGTGATTTTCTTCTCTGTGCAGGTGACCTCCCCTGTGCTCTTGCTGTTGTTTGGGCTCCTTGTGTTTGTTGAGTTACTTTAACAGTAGTACCTAAGGGTTTGCCTTGAATCTGTAAGAGTGCTGGAAAAAAAATTACATATAATTACATAAAATTATCCCTTTTAGTGTAATTCAATCTGATTTTTACAAAACCCCACCGCGGAAACTTGGCGGAAAAGATAAACTTTCCAACTTAGCATTTTAAAGGACAAATACCGCTCGATGTATACCAAAAGAAGGGTTGTCAAAGGTTACAAAAGATTTATTATGGCAAGTCATTAAAACAAGTAATTACAAGTCTAGTCACAGACCGTCTACTTTCTCTTTAGAGACAGCCGAGTGCGGCGGATTTATTCGCTACGGTCTTGGTGATTGTACAATGGTCTGTTGAATCTGGGCGGGGCCACTTTGTTGTGGGAACTGAACCATTCGAACTTGGAACTGAGGCTGTTGGAGCTGTGTTCCGATTGGTACCAGAGGCTGGAGGTTTGTTGTGGTGCGATTTACAGTTGAGTTAGAGCGGCTATGGCATTTGGTGAAGATCCGGTTGCTAACAAACAAAAACAAAAACTTCAGCTTTTAAAAGCCAGGAAATTCACCTTACTGACACAGTTGGTAAATTGGGAGAAAATATTCTTTTAATTCCGTGCCCCTCCCCTTCCCCCACCTGTTCCTCACAGCACCACCCTTCTTTTCTCCAAGTCGCTGAAGGAAGCAGGAATTCAAGACAACAACCGGTTTTTTACGACTCACTAGTCTCCTATGTAGCAAGAAACGTCCGCGAAGAAGCATGGCGTGAAGATCAAACTAACTAATAGCTTACCTGCGCTGATTTTCCTTTGCTGTTGTTGTTGCTGTGGTAATATGGGCCTCGTGTTTAGTGTCACAGTAGTCATCCCTGAGGGAGGGGAGAGTGGGGTGTTTAGCAGTATAGGCGTTGGTTGCCCAGTAGGGGTACCTTGAGGAGAGGTTTTTGTTTGGATCTGTGCACTTACCGTAACACCATCAGCTGATTGTATGTGGGTTATTGGCACCAAGTTACCTGGAATCTGTTAAAAAGGACAGCATCCGTCAAGCAAGTTCAATGTATTCTCACATTATTTTATCTGAGACTGTGCCGGGAGAAAATTCAACGGTGCAACAAAGAATGAACTAACGATGCATCGTGCGATAGTTACGATAGTTTTCAATTAACATCTTGCATTCCTTTTTTCTTGCTAAAAGAGGCACATCGTTTCCTCAACTGTGGACTAGTAACGAATACATTCCCAGTGGACGCTCGCTTAACAAAGGCCTAGGGACTCGAAAGATGAGTTACGAGACATGTGAGTCCGCAGGCGAGAAGGCAATAGAACTAGACCAAGATAACAGAAAAAAAAGGGCGGGGGGAGGGTCAAACAAAAGAACCACTAAAAAAACTGGGTGGAGATCAACTCCACCCCGCTCCCCCACAAAGGGCTTCAACGGCGCATGAATCCAACCCTCCCCACCCTATCTAGTGTTTAATCATACACAGAAGGCCACTTCCAGGTAAGAAACCCAAACACATACCTGAAATAAAGCTCTCGCTAGTAATTGGCCAGAATTAGGGCCACTGTAAGAGAGCGAGTACTGGGAATACTACAATTTCTCCATCGTTAATAGTTTCTGATTCTTCCCAGACGTCAGTATCGTATCTAACTATCATGATGCTATTGTAATAGTCAAAGTGACCTCAATAGTCAACCCTATTTGTCCCCCAAGTCCTTTAGCTTACGACGCCCTAATTTATCAAGTGATACGCAAGTTATTTACCGTGAAAGTTGTAGATGGTGATCTTGCTTGATGCACTATCTGTGCTTGTTGAGTTTGTACGGTTGAGGTACCCTGCACACACAAACAAACAAACCTAAGTTAGGGTCTTAGTTAAAGCATCCATCCCCCAACTCACTATAGAGCAGTTATTCATTTTTGCATGGCGCCAGACGGTGGGTTCGATGAATTGCTATGTGGGACTGTTTAAAGTACTTTAAAACTAGTTGTTTCGGCGTGAACTCCTCAGAAAATCCAAATACTTTTATCATATTTCGCGTCATTGATGTTGCGAACAATAAATTGTAATAGAGTGATAAATCTTGCCCTCTAGGTCAATTTGTGCTACACTTTGGGCCTACTTCTAGAAAACCCCTATTCAGCGGTCAACCTCTATTAAGCGGCCACCATCACTTGCTAATTCCCGAGGTTGATCGCTTAAAAGAGTGTTTGGCTGTAGTCTCCTTCACTGCCCTAATAATGGCTGCGAAGCAAACTACTGGATAACTGGCAATGCATGAACTTTACTTATCAGCAGTAAAACGAAAGTAATATTTTATCCGGACACATGCAGTACCTGTAAAAGCGTAAGCGGAGTTCCTGGTGCCACTGCTGTATGGTTTGGTTGGCATTTTTCAAACCTGTGGCGATAAACTGAGCTGGTAATGTCCCTGATGTAATGGCCACACTGTTAGAAACAGGAACAATGCCGGGAGTTCCACCAGCTACTGTTACAGTTGAACCACCTGGGACAGTAACACTCATTCCACCACGACCAACAACAGGCTGGGAAAACAACCACGAAAAAATTTCCTACATGTACTTATTAAGAAAAAGAGCCCTTTTGGATTGACTTTCATTGTTTAACACGTTGCAAAATGTTGGACGGAATGCAGCCAATTCTTCTTGATAGCGTTCATCATGTTAATTGGCCTTTTTCTTATAAATCTTCTTTCTCCTTTTTTCAAGCACGACTTCATTCCATAAAGATAGATGAAGAAACGCAAACTCCAGAACCATCAGCAAAAAAAGAAGTTTCACGAAACCTGAGACAGCATCCAGTTGCATCTACTTTGGGATATTCGATGAGTGAGTCATTCCATATGTACATGTAGGTAGCTAGATATTGTTCTTTAATGATGACCGACTATCTTCAAATAAGCCATACCTTCTAAGTACTTACAACTAAAAGCTTATTCTTTAAAGGAGTAACCATATCCGTTAGGAACGTTCGAATTACCAATAAACCAATCAGATAGCGTAAAAACAAGTCTTGTTATTCTAGTCAGTTTTTAACATTCACTTTTGGAATCTCACAGCTTACACCACCAACAATGTAGTTTTCTCTAGATCGTCAATCGCTTATCGAAATAAAACTTCCTTATTCAAGTGACCATGTATTAAGTTTGCATAAAAGTACTATAGCAGATGTAGCAGATGTCCTTGTTTTGACATCTCTCACTGGAGATGGGACCGCAATTTCTTTGTCTTTTGAGCCACGTCACTGTGGAGGTCGAGCTGTTTGCATGGGTATTAAGGCCGCAGTACCTTTACTTGCTTTTTCAGTTATTTTAAAACCCTCAATATTAGTACGGCTCTAGGAAATCGAACCTACGCCTTCTTTGATCCCGTTCTGCAGCCTAACACTACGTAGCTCTGTTTTCTCTCCTTCACTCTGCGCATGCTCTATGGTCACTTTAATTTCATAACGGTGCTCGGGGATTCCGATTAGCCACTATAAAAAAAAGCTGACATAAATGGATCTTATTTATTTGTAGCTCTGTACTATTTGCTGATCCAACTGATGAAGAAGAAAATCTAGTTTCTGGAATCGTCACTATAGTTGTGACAGATGATGATAAAATTGCAGCGGTTCATAAGCCAGGTAACTTTTGGCTTTAAAATAGAATAAAATTATGAAGAAAAGAACTACTCATCTTAGTGTAAGAACACAAGAAAGTCAACACTATAGAACCTAGCAAGTAGCTATAAAATCAAAGATAAACTTAGAGGCTGTTACACCGAGATAATTCCAATACAACCGCAACAATACATCTGTTTTCTGAGACGGTATAAGTTTTGACTTCACGAAAGTCTAAAAGAAGAGGTTAGTTTCTATAGAAACTGTGGTATTGAGTCGATGTGGAAGTTAAAAACAAGAATTTGATTTTATCAGTTGAGTTTATGTAATAAGGTCAGTTTCCTGACCACCGTAAGGAGATTCCAAAGTTCATGGAATTTATCAGAGGGAATTCGCTTCTACAAAGGGCTTGTCCTCGAATAGTTTGCTTTTTAATCCGCTTACGATATGTTCACTGTGGAGAGTAATAATTTTTCTTTATCTTGTATACATCCGGGACTCCGCTTTCCCAGCGCGTAAAGTCCGGAGTCTTGAGACTTGGAAGTGTTTATTGTTGAAGTCTTGTTCGAGTGTGGCAGTGATCTACAGTTGTGCCCTAGGTTATGTTCTCAGTGGCTTGTTAGAAATAGCAACCCTGTTCGTAAATTAATGCCATTTTCTTCGCGCAAAACATGTTATCCCATAATCAAGGTTCTCCTGAATCCTTTTGTTGAATAACTGATTTATGTTTATTTCCTTTATACCCATTCTTATTTTATTCTTAGTTCACTCCATTTACCGCATAATTCAATCAGTGTCGTGTCAACCTTTTTTTGTGCGAAGGCGGTGTGAAAGGTATTTGATAAACTCTGCCGGAGGAAGCTGAGGTCGTGAAATGTTCTTGTTGCTTAGTTACTGCTCTCGTTTTTTCTCCTTAAAGGTGGATCTCCTTTGACAGATGACAAGTTACAGGAATGTTTTAAAAAGTCGGTAAGAAGAGGCAAAGAAGTCAGAGATCTGATCCAGACAGCTTGTGATGACATTGATAGATAATTATACCTGTGGAGAATGTATTTTAAACAAAATATTAAACTGAATGAGGAAAAACGTGAAACATTTCGTGCTAACTATTCTGCAGTTTTACTTTTCTTTTAATTTAAAATTGCCTTCTCTTATCAGTGTACTTCCAAGATTCGTCCTCAAAATGTGTCGCCGGTGTTTAAGAGTTACCTGGTTAGGGAAGCTACATTTTTTTTATGATGGGGATGTTTGATTTGTTTGTTTGTTTGTTTTTGAAACAAAACTATGATTCTTTGCCCTCCCCTCTCTCATTCCCGAATAAGACGTACAAAGCGTGACCCTCCCCAAATCTCTAACCATCCGTCTTTCGTTCTCCTAAATTTGATTCTGCAAATAAAAGCTTACTTTATAAACTTCCTCTCCGGGATTGAAAAACAGATTGTTTAAGATTTATGCTAGAAACATTGAAGTACTAAACTGTAGGTTTGTGTTTGCACGACTCCAACCCATTCCTCTCGCTCGATTTCTAGTCTTCACTGCTGCGCGATCCAACTTTAGTTCCAAAACTGAGCTCACCACACAGCCGTAGAATAGCCGCTGACTACATGTTACTACATGCAAAAAAAAACACACAAACACAAGCAAAGAATGAGAAAGATTACTAACAAACGTTATTAGGAAAATGCACGGAGGTTCTACTTACTCCTTCGTGTTTGAAATGATAAGTGACAGACAATTAGATTGAACCTCACATTTTTGTCAGGGGTTGGCGTTTAATTCTTCTTTACCGGAATGCTCAAAGTCTGTCCACCCTCAAAGTAATATAGCTTATATACAAAAAAACAAGTCCATTAAAAACGCGCACTTCTATAGCAAGATTTTATATTTGTCTTTTGTCTTAACTTGTGTCAATATTCCCAGCTAAACAATGCGGGGAAAAACCCTCCTTAACTTCCGCTTCTAAGGTCAGAGGGTAGATTATTTCAAATCTAGTTGGCTACCTGTGGGTATTAAGCAAAATGTTTTATGACGCTATAAATGGTTCAAGTTTCCCGGAATCTCAAAGAACAAGAAAGGGCGTGCCGCTGTTGAGCAATCTCTCACAATGGAATCTCTGTTGATAAACCTCAAAGAACAGGTTACTTGTGCAATCTGTCTGGATAGTTTTACCGATCCCAAGACAATAACCTGCCTGCATACATTCTGCTGTGACTGTTTGAAGAAACACGCACTGATCAGCCAAAGGAATGGAAAGTTTCGCTGCCCCGAGTGTCAAGCTGAAGTCGATCTTCCCGAAGCAAACTGTTTCGACAAACTACCGTCTAGTTTTCATCATAACAGCTTGCTCAGTCTTCTCGCTGCTCGACAGAGTGGCGATGGCAACGAAATCAGTTGTGGCATTTGCAAGAAAAAGAGCGCAGAGATAAGTTACTGCTTCGAATGCGCTAAATTCATGTGCAGTGACTGTGTAAACGCACATCAACTGTTTACAAACCTCACAGAAGTACACAAGGTGACTCCAGTCAAACAGTTCCAACCTCAAGACTACGAAGCCCTGATGAAGAGGCAGTCATTTTGTTCGCAGCAGTATCACGAGCGCGAGATTGTAAGATTTTTCTGCCGCAAATGCAAACTGTGTGTTTGCCAAATTTGCATCGCTACGGATCACAAGTCACACGAGGGCCATGATGTGGAACTACTGGATAAAGTGGCGGATGGCGAGAAAGTGAACATCCTAGAGAGAGCCGAAAAGTTAAAAGAAAAGACCAATCTTTACAGCGATGCGATTTTCAAGCTTGAACAAACAGAGCTTGAGCTGCATACAGATATTACTAATGTTAAACATGAAGTTTCCCAGACAGCGGAACAAATCATTGCCACTATTCGTGAAAGTGAATGCGAGATCATCACCTTTCTCGAGAACACGCGGGCGACTCGATCGGAAATGTTAAACTCGGCAAAGACACAAGTGCAGTCCTTGCTAAAGCAGATCAACCAAGCAGTCGAGTTTGCTGAACAACTCGTGCAAAAAAGCTCCAGTTCGGACATAATGCAAAACAAACTGAGACTACAGCAGCGTTACAACGAACTTGAAAGCGCTCCCATCCCAGAACTTCCGGTCAGTTCCTTTGTGAAGTACTTTCCGAATTTGGAACTAGAAAAATTTAGCGTTGGCTTCGTAGCAACAAGTGAACCGACCATCAAGGGACTGAATCAAGATATCCAAGCTGGTGTAGAATCAGAGTTCGATGTTAACCCCAGAATCCCTAAAGAACAAGCGCATGAAGTTAAATGCAAATTCCAATGTGAGGCGCTCGTGGAACCCCCTGAGAAGGTAGGAAGTTTGAGAACGTACGAGAATGAAGATGCTACACTAGTGTAACAAGTTTGTACCTAAAGTTCCTGGTACTTTTAACATCACAGTCAAAATAAATGGGAAGGTTCTTTCAACCAACACTGTCCAGGTGAAACAACGGCTCATTCAGGTTTTGGGAGAGTTGGAATTAAATCAAGAAACTTCTAAAAAACCGAGAGGGTTGGCTGTCAACAGCAAAGGGCAAATTGCTGTTGTTGACAGCGAAAGACACTGTGTTTTCATAATTGACATGGAAGGAAACTGTCTAAGAAAAGTAGGTTGTCGTGGAAAGAAGGACGGGGAGCTTAACGGTCCAGAGGACGTTACTTACCTTAATGATGATAACATTCTTGTGGCGGATGAAGTAAATCATCGCATTCAACAATTTAATGTTCAAACTGGAAACTTTGTGAAAAGCTTTGGAAAGAAAGGGGCAAGGGGTGGTGAGTTTCACAATCCTGTCAGTGTTTGTGTGAATGATGCAGGTCGTGTTATCGTGGCTGACTACCATAACACTAGAGTCCAAGTTTTATCACAAGATGGTGAATCTTTGTTTAAATTTGGAGACAGTGGACCAGAAAAACTAAGCACACCCAGGTCGTGTATTTACCATGAGAACAAGTTCATTGTTTCTGACCGGGTTAATAATTGCTTGAAAGTGTTAGATAATACTGGGAAGTTGTGGTACAAGATAGGAGAAGAAGGCGAGGGTGATGGGCAGTTGAAATCCCCTAATGGACTGTGTTTACAGAAATGTCGCAAACACCACAATCTTCTTGTTTGCAATTTCGACAGTGTCGATCAGTTTACATTGGATGGTTGTTTCACTGGAAAAACTACTGACAAGTTTAAAGCAAGTCCCTCAAGAATAACTACAACACCGGATGGTCTAATTTTAGTTTCGGACTGGAAGGCCGGTAAAATATATATTCTAAAATAGTACGTAAAAAACTGTCGAAGAGAAGTTAAGCCAGCCGAAACCGAAAGGGAAAACACTGAGATGTACTCACTAAAAAGCTACGTCGTAAATATAGAATACTTCATAGAAAGTTCTGAGCTGCGGAATGTTCGCAGTTTTTCGACATAATACGAGTGGAAATTAAAAAAACCCAGGTGTTAGTTACAGCGTTGCAGTCGACAGAGTTGTAAAGTAGAAAATGCATCTCATTAAATCTAGCCAAGAAGATGCATTTGTCCACTCGCTATAAAACGCTGTTTGTTAAGTCGAAAATCATCTGTACACTGTTCGCTTCACTTAAAATTTTTTCAACTGACATGGAAAGTATAGATATCTTCAAGTCATTCACCGTCCTTTTCCACTTAAGCATGCACCACGTACGCGGAACCATCATGCAGGCCACCGCAACTATGAAAGATATAAGAAATGCAAATTATCCTTCAGAGCTAACACATCTTTATCAATTGATGACTTTAGACGTGTTCACATTTCTCAGTTATAAAAAAAAACCCTGCCAGCGAGATTGTGAATAAAATAAACAACTGTGCGAGTCTACGAAGTGTTTTAGTGAGCTTTTCCATATGTATTCTAAATAAAAACTGCCATCATAATATTTATCTGATACAGCTAAAATATTTCAATATTACCAACTTACAGGCTATTTCACCATTCTACTTTACAGTGTATGAACAGAAAGGCTCAAGTGTCTGGAGTAATTCAAAATAACCCTTTTCAAGTAATACGAATGATAGAGTGATTTTACCTAACCCGTGAAATAGGTAGAAGAATACTACGCCTATTGCCTTCTCTTGTTTGTTTCTAGCTATTTTAGAATTGCGGCCAGCATCGAATCGTCTTATTGTTGATCTCACTTCAGGCAACATGTATAGGCTGTATAGCTACTTCAATTGCAAATCCTCGTTACACGTCTCCTTTCGCTGGGGTTGTTAAGACCAATTAGAACAGACAATGGGACTGGCCCTCAATAACAGGTGCAGTGGAGGACAATCGATCAAACGAACTTGTATTTGAATAAATAACCGCAGAGAACAATCATTTGTCCGCCAGCTTTACATGACGATATCTGGGGTTTCCTTGAACTTTCAATATATTATCGAGTATTCAGTGTTCATTTATTCTGTGATTTTCTTCTCTGTGCAGGTGACCTTCCCTGTGCTCTTGCTGTTGTTTAGGCTCCTTGTGTTTGTTGAGTTACTTTAACAGTACCTAAGGGTTTGCCTTGAATCTGTAAGAGTGCCGGAAAAAAAGATTACATATCAGTAAAATTATCCCCTTTAGTGCGGGAATTTGGCGGAAAAGGAAAACTTTCCAACTTAGTATTTTAGAGGACAAAAAAATACTCTATGCATACCAAAAGAAGGGTTGTCAAAGGTTACAAAAGGTTTATTATATATGGCAAGTCATTATAACAATTTATTAAGAGTCTGGTCACAGACCGTCTACTTTCTCTATAGAGATAGCCGAGCGCGGCGGATTTTTTCGCTACGGTCTGGAGAACAGACTAGTATTTCCATACCAAAGCTAGTAAAGTTCGCTGGGTTGGGTAGGTTTTGGTGTTGTGAAGCTAACCTTCCTTGATCTAATACTTTAAGTCTGAGGGTTAAGTCAGATTTCATGGAATCCCGTTCATTTTGAACCTCGTATATAGAGAAAGGGAAATTCGTCCAAATTATCGGAAGATTAGAAAAACGGAGTTGAGGAGGGGGAGGAAAGTGTTTGACTAGAAAAGTGAAGTTAGTTTAGGTTCAATATATTGAAAGGTTCTGTTCAAGAAAGCGAGGGTTCGAGAAGTCACGGGGGGTTGAGAAGTATGAGTTCTCTTATTTGATTCATCCCACCGAAAAATGAAGGTATCGACCGTTCGACATTAGCAGTCCCATTGTCGGTTGACGTACCTGTTGTAGGCCTTGAACGACTTGAGCCTGTTGAGTGTGAAACTGAACCGGTGTAGTAGCACCTCTTGGTGATTGTACAATGGTCTGTTGAATCTGGGCGGGGCCAGTTTGTTGTGGGAACTGAACCATTCGAACTTGGAACTGAGGCTGTTGGAGCTGTGTTCCGATTGGTACCAGAGGCTGCAGGTTTGTTGTAGTGCGATTCACAGTTGATGTTAGAGCGGCTATGGCAGTTGGTGAAGATCCGGTTGCTAACAAACAAAAACAATAATATGCCATATCTGACGCGGCTAAAATATTTTAATATTTCATATTTTATAGATTATTTCACCATTTTAGATAACAGTGTATGAACAGAAAGGCTCAAATGTCTAGAGCAATTCACAATAACCCTAGTACATAGTTTCTGCTGACTATTAAATGTAGATGTAGATGAAGATATTAAATGAGTTTATAAATGTCCATGAAAGAGACGTATTGAAACTTTTAGAATTGCGGCAGGCTTCGAATCGTCTTAATCTCAGTTGAGGCAACATGTAGTTGCGGCTTCAATGGCAAAAGCCTCGTTACACATTCACTTTCGCTGCGGTTGTAAAGACCAATTAGAACAGAAAATGGGACTGGCCCCCAATAACATGTTCAATGGAGGACAATCAAACGAACTTGTATTTGAATAAATAACCGCAGAGGACAATCATTTGTCCGGCAGCTTTACATGACGATCTTAATATCTGGGTTTTACTTAAACTTTCAATATATTATTGAGTATTCAGTCTTTATTTATTTTGTGATTTTCTTCTCTGTGCAGGTGACCTTCCCTGTGCTCTTGCTGTTGTTTAGGCTCCTTGTGTTTGTTGAGTTACTTTAACAGTACCTAAGGGTTTGCCTTGAATCTGTAAGAGTGCCGGAAAAAAAGATTACATATCAGTAAAATTATCCCCTTTAGTGCGGGAATTTGGCGGAAAAGGAAAACTTTCCAACTTAGTATTTTAGAGGACAAAAAAATACTCTATGCATACCAAAAGAAGGGTTGTCAAAGGTTACAAAAGGTTTATTATATATGGCAAGTCATTATAACAATTTATTAAGAGTCTGGTCACAGACCGTCTACTTTCTCTATAGAGATAGCCGAGCGCGGCGGATTTTTTCGCTACGGTCTGGAGAACAGACTAGTATTTCCATACCAAAGCTAGTAAAGTTCGCTGGGTTGGGTAGGTTTTGGTGTTGTGAAGCTAACCTTCCTTGATCTAATACTTTAAGTCTGAGGGTTAAGTCAGATTTCATGGAATCCCGTTCATTTTGAACCTCGTATATAGAGAAAGGGAAATTCGTCCAAATTATCGGAAGATTAGAAAAACGGAGTTGAGGAGGGGGAGGAAAGTGTTTGACTAGAAAAGTGAAGTTAGTTTAGGTTCAATATATTGAAAGGTTCTGTTCAAGAAAGCGAGGGTTCGAGAAGTCACGGGGGGTTGAGAAGTATGAGTTCTCTTATTTGATTCATCCCACCGAAAAATGAAGGTATCGACCGTTCGACATTAGCAGTCCCATTGTCGGTTGACGTACCTGTTGTAGGCCTTGAACGACTTGAGCCTGTTGAGTGTGAAACTGAACCGGTGTAGTAGCACCTCTTGGTGATTGTACAATGGTCTGTTGAATCTGGGCGGGGCCAGTTTGTTGTGGGAACTGAACCATTCGAACTTGGAACTGAGGCTGTTGGAGCTGTGTTCCGATTGGTACCAGAGGCTGCAGGTTTGTTGTAGTGCGATTCACAGTTGATGTTAGAGCGGCTATGGCAGTTGGTGAAGATCCGGTTGCTAACAAACAAAAACAATAATATGCCATATCTGACGCGGCTAAAATATTTTAATATTTCATATTTTATAGATTATTTCACCATTTTAGATAACAGTGTATGAACAGAAAGGCTCAAATGTCTAGAGCAATTCACAATAACCCTAGTACATAGTTTCTGCTGACTATTAAATGTAGATGTAGATGAAGATATTAAATGAGTTTATAAATGTCCATGAAAGAGACGTATTGAAACTTTTAGAATTGCGGCAGGCTTCGAATCGTCTTAATCTCAGTTGAGGCAACATGTAGTTGCGGCTTCAATGGCAAAAGCCTCGTTACACATTCACTTTCGCTGCGGTTGTAAAGACCAATTAGAACAGAAAATGGGACTGGCCCCCAATAACATGTTCAATGGAGGACAATCAAACGAACTTGTATTTGAATAAATAACCGCAGAGGACAATCACTTGTCCGGCAGCTTTACATGACGATCTTAATATCTGGGTTTTACTTAAACTTTCAATATATTATTGAGTATTCAGTCTTTATTTATTTTGTGATTTTCTTCTCTGTGCAGGTGACCTTCCCTGTGCTCTTGCTGTTGTTTGGGCTCCTTGTGTTTGTTGAGTTACTTTAACAGTACCTAAGGGTTTGCCTTGAATCTGTAAGAGTGCCGGAAAAAAGATTACATATCAGTAAAATTATCCCCTTTAACGTAATTCCGTCTGATTTTTACAAACCCCTGCCGAAATTTGGCAGAAAAGGAAAACTTTCCAACTTCGTATTTTAGACGACAACTACTCGATGCATACCAAAAGAAGGGTTGTCGAAGGTTACAAAAAGTTTTTTTTTTGGCACGTCATTATAACAATTTATTAAAAGTCTAGTCACCGGCCGTCTACTTTCTCTTTGGAGATAGCCGAGCGCGACGGATTTATTCGCTACGGTCTGGAGAACAGACTAGTATTTCCATACCAAAGCTAGTAAAGTTCGCTGGGTTGGGTAGGTTTTGGTGGTGTGAAGCTAACCTTCCTTGATCTAATACTTTAAGTCTGAAGGTTAAATCAGATTTCATGGAATCCCGTTCATTTTGAACCTCGTATATAGAGAAAAGGAAATTCGTCCAAATTATCGGAAGATTAGAAAAACGGAGTTGAGGAGAGGGAAAAAAGTGTTTAACTGGAAAAGTGAAGTCAGTTTAGATTCAATATATTGAAAGGTTCTGTTCAAGAAAGCGATGGTTCGAGAAGTCACGGGGGGTTGAGAAGTAAGGGTTCTACTGTATACGACTGAGCGGCTGAAAGTACTTCACAAGATGAGTTCTCTTATTTGATTCATCTCACCGAAAAATGAAGGTATCGACCGTTCGACATTAGCAATCCCATTGTCCGTTGACATACCTGTTGTAGGCCTTGAACGACTTGAGCCTGTTGAGTGTGAATCTGAACCGGTGTAGTAGCACCTCTTGGTGATTGTACAATGGTCTGTTGAATCTGGGCGGGGCCACTTTGTTGTTCGTAGCACCACCAGCTGATTGTATGTGGGTTATTGGCACCAAGTTACCTGGAATCTGTTAAAAAGGACAGCATCCGTCAGGCAAGTTCAATGCATTCTCACATTACTTTATTTGAGACTGTGGAAAAATTCTACGGTGCAACAATCAATGAACTAACGATGCATCGTGCGATAGTTTTCAATCAACATCTTCCAGCCCTCCTTTCTCGCTAAAAGAGGCACATCGTTTCCTCAACTGTGGACTAGTAACGAATACATTTTCCGTGGACGCTCGCTTAACAAAGGCCTAGGGACTCGAGAGATGAGTTACGAGACATGTGAGTCCGCAGGCGAGAAGACAATAGAACTAGACCAAGATAACAGAAAAAATGGGGGGAGGGGCAAACAAGAGTCACTAAAAAAGGGGGGTTAGATCAACTCCAGCCCGCTCCCCCATGAGCAACCTCGTCCCCAGGGCGCTTTTCCCTGGCTTTGGGGTTTCCCGCCCCGCCCCCAAAGCCAGGGAAAAGCGCCCTGGGGACGAGGTTGCCCCATGAGGGGCTTCGACGGCGCATGAATCCAATCCTTCCCGCCCTATCTTGTGTTTAATCATACACAGAAGGCCACTTCCAGGTAAGAAACTAAAACACATACCTAAAATAAAGCTCTCGCTAGTAATTAGCCAGAATTAAGGCCAGTGTAACCGAGCGAGCACTGGGAATAGTAGAATTTCTCCATGATTAATAGTTTCTGATTCTTCGCAGACGTCAGTATCGCGATAGTATCGAAATAATAGTAGTCCTAATATAGCAATACTATTGGGATAGTATTTAAGCTATCATGATACTATTGTAATAGTCAAAGTGAGCTCAATAGTCAACCCTATTTGTCCCCCAAGTCCTTTAGCTTACGACGTCCTAATTTCGCAAGTGATACCTAAGTCATTTACCGTGAAAGTTGTAGACGGTGATCTTGCTTGATGCACTATCTGTGCTTGTTGAGTTTGTACGGTTGAGGTACCCTGCACACACAAACAAACATAAGTTGGGGCTTAGTTAAAGCATCCATCCTCCCACTCACTAAAGAGTAGTCATTCATTTTTGCATGGAGTCAGACGGTGGGTTCGATAAATTGCTATTAGGGACTGTTGGATCATTGTATGGTTCTGAGAAACTACCCACCTACCCCTCCGTTAAGCCAACATTAACACTTACTTCTGACTTAGGGCAAAATGTTGGCTTGGGGGAGGGGTAGGTGGGCAGTTTCCCAGACTGAACGAAATATCAGGCTTCGGACTGTTTTGGGAAACAAATTTTGACCAAGTTGCCTGTGAAACTTCCAAAAAAAAAAGAGTCGATAGCATTCCTGAAATAGTCTCGTATTTCAGTTCATTTACCGTATAATTCAAACAGTGTCAACCTTTTTTTGTGCGAAAGCGGTGTGAACAGTATTTGATAAACTCTGCAGGAGGAAGCTGAGGTCGTGAAATTTTCTTATTGCTTAGTTACTGCTCTCCTTTTTTCTTCTTAAAGGTGGATCTCCTTTGACAGATGACAAGTTACGAGAATGTTTTTAAAAGTCGATGAGAAGAGGCAAAGAAGTCAGAGATCTGATCCAGACAGCTTGTGATGACATTGATAGATAATTATACCTGTGGAGAATGTATTTTAAACAAAAAATTAAACTGAATGAGGAAAAACGTGAAACATTTCGTGCTAACTATTCTACAGTTTTACTTTTCTTTTAATTTAAAATTGCCTTCTCTTATCAGTGTACTTCCAAGATTCGTCCTCAAAATGTGTCGCCGGTGTTTAAGAGTTACCTGGTTAGGGAAGCCACATTTTTATTTATGATGGGGATGTTTGATTTGTTTGTTTGTTTGTTTGTTTTTGAAACAAAACTATGATTCTTTGCCCTCCCCTCTCTCATTTCCGAATAAGACGTACAAAGCGTGACCCTCTCCAAATCTCTAACCATTCGTCTTTCGTTCTCCTAAATTTGATTCTGAAAATAAAACCTTACTTTATAAACTTCCTCTCCGGGGTTGAAAAAACAGATTGTTTCAGATTTATGCTAGAAACATTAAAGTACTAAACTAGGTTTGTGTTTGCACGACTCCAACCCATTCCTCTCGCTCGATTTCTCGTCTTCACTGCTGGGCGATCCAAGTTTACTTCCAAAACTGAGCTCACCACACAGCAGTAGAATAGCCGCTGACTACATGTTACTACATGCAAAAAAACACACAAACACAAGCAAAGAATGAGAAAGATTACTAACAAACGTTATTAGGAAAATGCACGGAGGTTCTACTTACTCCTTCGTGTTTGAAATGATAAGTAACAGACAATTAGATTGAACCTCACATTTTTGTCACAGGTTGGCGTTTAATTCTTCTTTACCGGAATGCTCAAAGTCTGTCCACCCTCAAAGTAATATAGATTATATACAAAAAAACAAGTCCATTAAAAACGCGCACTTTATAGCAAGATTTTATATTTGTCTTTTGTCTTAACTTGTGTCAATATTCCCAGCTAAACAATGCGGGGAAAAACCCTCCTTAACTTCCGCTTCTAAGGTCAGAGGGTAGATTATTTCAAATCTAGTTGGCTACCTGTGGGTATTAAGCAAAATGTTTTATGACGCTATAAATGGTTCAAGTTTCCCGGAATCTCAAACAACAAGAAAGGGCGTTCCGCTGTTGAGCAATCTCTCACAATGGAATCTCTGTTGATAAACCTCAAAGAACAGGTTACTTGTGCAATCTGTCTAGATAGTTTTACCGATCCCAAGACAATAACCTGCCTGCATACATTCTGCTGTGACTGTTTGAAGAAACACGCACTGATCAGCCAAAGGAATGGAAAGTTTCGCTGCCCCGAGTGTCAAGCTGAAGTCGATCTTCCCGAAGCAAACTGTTTCGCCAAACTACCGTCTAGTTTCCATCATAACAGGTTGCTCAGTCTTCTCGCTGTTCGACAGAGTGGCGATGGCAACGAAATCAGTTGTGGCATTTGCAAGAAAAAGAGCGCAGAGATAAGTTACTGCTTCGAATGCGCTAAATTCATGTGCAGTGACTGTGTAAACGCACATCAACTGTTTACAAACCTCACTGAAGGACACAAGGTGACGCCAGTCAAACAGTTCCAACCTCAAGACTACGAAGCCCTGATGAAGAGGCAGTCATTTTGTTGGCAGCAATATCACGAGCGAGAGATTGTAAGATTTTTCTGCCTCAAATGCAAACTGTGTGTTTGCCAAATTTGCATCGCTACGGATCACAAGTCACACGAGGGCCATGATGTGGAACTACTGGATAAAGTGGCGGACGGCGAGAAAGTCAACATCCTAGAGAGAGCCAAAAGGTTAAAAGAAAAGACCAAACTTTACAGCGATGCGATTTTCAAGCTTGAACAAACAGAGCTTGAGCTGCATGCAAATATTACTAATGTTAAACATGAAGTTTCCCAGACAGAGGAACAAATCATTGCCAAGATTCGTGAAAGTGAACGCGAGATTATCACCCATCTCGAGAACACGCACGAGACTCGATCGGAATTGTTAAACTCGGCAAAGACACAAGTACAGTCCTTGCTAAAGCAGGTCAACCAAGCAGTCGAGTTTGCTGAACAACTCGTGCAAAAAAGCTCCAGTTCGGACATAATGCAGAGCAAAGCAAAACTACAGCAGCGTTACAACGAACTTGAAAACGCTCCCATCCCAGAACTTCCGGCCAACTCCTTTGCGAAGTTCTTCCCGAATTTGGAACTAGAAAAATTAAGCGTCGGTTTTGTAGCAACAAGTGAACCGATCATCAAGGGACTGAATCAAGATATCCAAGCTGGTGTAGAATCAGAGTTTGAAGTTAACCCTAGAATCCCTAAAGAAAAAGCGGAAGGAGTTAAAGTCAAATTCCAGTGTGAGGTGCTCGTGGAACCCGCTGAGAAGGTAGGAAGTTTGAGAACGTACGAGAATGAAGAGACTACACTGGTGAAGTTTGTAGCTAAAGTTCCTGGTACTTTCAACATCACAGTCAAAATAAATGAGACGGTTCTTTCAACCAACACTGACCAGGTGAAACAACGGCTCATTCAGGTTTTGGGGGAGTTTGAATTAAAAAACGAAACGTTTGAAAAACCGCTAGGGTTGGCTGTAAACAGCAAAGGGCAAATTGCTGTTGTTGACAGCGAAAAACACTGTGTTCTCATAACTGACATGGAAGGAAACTGTCTAAGAAAAGTTAGTTACTATGGAAACAAGGAAGGACAGCTAAAAAGTCCAAGCGACGTTACCTACCTAAATGATGATAACATTCTTGTGGCGGATGAATTAAATCGTCGCATTCAACAATTTAATGTTCAAACTGGAGACTTTGTGAAGAGCTTTGGGAAGAGAGGGACAAGAGACGGAGAGTTTCAGAATCCTGTCAGTGTTTGTGTGGATGATGAAGGACGCGTTATCGTGGCCGACTGCCGTAACCATAGAGTCCAAGTTTTATCACAGGATGGTGAACCTCTGTTTAAATTTGGAGACAGTGGACCAGAAAAACTTGGCCCCTTTGGATGTATTTACCATGAGAACAAGTTCATTGTTTCTGACTGGGATGATAATTCTGTGAAATTTTATGATAGTACTGGAAAGTTTTGGTATAAGACAAGAGAACCACGTCAGGGTGATGAACGGTTGTACTTGAAGGGTCCAAGGGGACTTTGTCTCCAGAAATGTGGCGATCACCATAATCTTCTTGTATGTGACAGAGACAATGGTCGTGTTGATCAGTTTACATTGGAGGGTTGTTTTACTGGGAAAACTGATTATAAGTTTAAAAGTCTCACAAGAATAACTACAACACCGGATGGCCTTATTTTAACTTCGGACTGGGTGGCCAATAAAATATATATTCTAAAATAGTACGTGAAAAACCTGTCAAAGAGAAGCCAGCCCAAACCGGAACGGAAAACACTGAGATGTACTCACTAAAAAGCTATTTCGCAAATATAGAATAGGGGCACCCAACGAGAATATAGTTCAAAACCACTTAAACATAGCATTGTTAAACGTGTTTTAGTATTTATACGGTAGATAAATCTGTTATCTGTTCGGAGTCTAGTGATCCGAAAAATATAGGGATCAAAACTAAACTTTTCGAAAATTTCAGCCAGAAAAAAGGTTCCTGAAAATTCTAGGTGACCACCTTTTTAGGGTAAAAATCCGTTAAAAATGGACAATTATACCATTTTTTAGATGTTCGAAAATCCTAGGAGAGGCAGGCAAGCAAGAAATTTTACAACAAATGTTCCGAAAATTCTAGGTCTCAAATCGTCTTCCGAACAGATATTTTCCGAAAAACGGACGTTGGGTGCCCCTGAAAGAATACTTCATAGAATGTTCTGCGCTGCGGAATGTGCTCAGTTTTTCGACATAACAGGAGTGGAAAAATTACGTTTTACAACTTGTACGAGTGGAAAGTTGATTCGATTCGACAGAGTTGTACAGTGGAAAAGCATCTCGTTAAGTCTAGCTAAGAAGATGCATTTGTCCGCTCTAAAACGCTGTTTTTCAAGTCGAAAATCATTTGTAAACAGTTCACGTCACTTAAAATTTTGGCAGCTGACATAGAAGTGAGAAGTCATGGAAGTCATACACGGTCCTTTTCCACTTTAGCACCACGTACGCGGAACCACCATACAGGCCACCGCAACTATGAAAAAAAGATTTAACCTATGCAAATTATCTTTCAGAGCTAACACATCTTTCTAGTATCAATAGATGACTCTAGACTTGTACACATCTCTCAGTTATTAAAAAAAAACCAGCCGGCGAGATTGTGAATAAAATAAACGCTTACCACATTTATTCTATTAAACGCCTCGGCGTTTATTGAATTTTTTGCTATTCTAGCGAAGCGTTTAGTCGAAGGCGGCGTTTATTTCAAAATCACGTTTTCTTAAATCATTGACATCAATTACGACAAATCATTTTTAAATATCAAGTAAAACAGACAGATTTTTAATCATGTTTAATGTTTCAATGTCTCGCGTTTTTTTTTTCGGGAGAGAATCGTTATTGCCTGGTTGATGTACATTACAAAGTAGTGCCGAGTTTTCCTTATAAGCCTCCGAGGGTGGCGTTTATTCGAGTAATTACGGTATACGAGTCTACGACGTGCTTTAGTGAACTTTTCCGTATGTACATTTCTATTTCTACGGATATATTTTTCTCATGGTAGTTCTAGTTTGTAAATAAAAGCTGTTAACTTATATCATATCTGACGCGGCTAAAATATTTTAATATTACCAATTTACAGATTATTTCACTATTTTACATAACAGTGTAAGAACAGAAAGGCTCAAATGTCTAGAGCAATTTACGATAACCTTGTTCATGCAATATACGAATGATATTGCATATTGATATGTTAGCGTGATAACTGTACATAGTTTCTGCTTACTATTAAATGTAGATGTAGATGAAGATATTAAATGAGTTTATAAATGTCCATGAAAGAAACGGATTCAAACTTTTAGAATTGCGGCTGGCTTCGAATCATCTTATTGTTGATCTCAGTTGAGGCAACATGTAGTCGCGGCTTCAATGGCAAAATCCTCGTTACACATCCCCTTTCGCTGCGGTTGTTAAGACCAATTAGAACAGAAAATGGGACTGGCCCCCAATAACATGTTCAATGGAGGACAATCAGACGAACTTGTATTTGAATAAATAACCGCAGAGGACAATCATTTGTCCGACAGCTTTACATGACGACCTTAATATCTCGGTTTACTTAAACTTTCAATATAGTATTGAGTATTCAGCCTTTATTTATTTTGTGATTTTCTTCTCTGTGCCGGTGACCATCCCTGTGCTCTTGCTGTTGTTTGGGCTGCTTGTGTTTGTGGAGTTACTTTAACAGTACCTAAGGGTTTGCCTTGAATCTGTAAGAGTGCCGGGAAAAAAGAGTTCACATCCGTAAATTTATCCCTTTTAGTGTAATTCAGTCTGATTTTTACAAACCCCTGCAGAAATGCACATCCCTGATACCTAATATTTTAAGTCTGAAAGTTCATCAGATTTCATGGAATCCCGTTCATTTTGAACCTCACAGGGAAAAGAAAATTGGTCCAAATTCTCGGGAGATTAGAAAAACGAGGTTGAGGAGGGGGACAAAATAAGTGTTTGACTGGAAAAGTGAAGTTACTTTAGGTTCGATTGATATATTGAAAGATTCTGTTCAACAAAGCGAGGGTTCGAGAAGTCACGGGGCGTTGGGAAATAAGGGTATACGACTGAGCGGTTAAGTCTGTAAGTATTTCACAAGATGAGTTCTCTTATTTGATTCATCCCACCGAAAAATGAAGGTATCGACCGTTCGACATTGACAGTCCCATTGTCCGTTGACATACCTGTTGTAGGCCTTGAACGACTTGAGCCTGTTGAGTATGAATCTGAACCGGTGTAGTAGCACCTCTTGGTGATTGTACAATGGTCTGTTGAATCTGGGCGGGGCCACTTTGTTGTGGGAACNCATCCGTAAATTTATCCCTTTTAGTGTAATTCAGTCTGATTTTTACAAACCCCTGCAGAAATGCACATCCCTGATACCTAATATTTTAAGTCTGAAAGTTCATCAGATTTCATGGAATCCCGTTCATTTTGAACCTCACAGGGAAAAGAAAATTGGTCCAAATTCTCGGGAGATTAGAAAAACGAGGTTGAGGAGGGGGACAAAATAAGTGTTTGACTGGAAAAGTGAAGTTACTTTAGGTTCGATTGATATATTGAAAGATTCTGTTCAACAAAGCGAGGGTTCGAGAAGTCACGGGGCGTTGGGAAATAAGGGTATACGACTGAGCGGTTAAGTCTGTAAGTATTTCACAAGATGAGTTCTCTTATTTGATTCATCCCACCGAAAAATGAAGGTATCGACCGTTCGACATTGACAGTCCCATTGTCCGTTGACATACCTGTTGTAGGCCTTGAACGACTTGAGCCTGTTGAGTATGAATCTGAACCGGTGTAGTAGCACCTCTTGGTGATTGTACAATGGTCTGTTGAATCTGGGCGGGGCCACTTTGTTGTGGGAACTGAACCATTCGAACTTGGAACTGATGCTGTTGTAACTGTGTTCCGATTGGTACCAGAGGCTGGAGGTTTGTTGTAGTGCGATTTACAGTTGATGTAAGAGCGGCTATGGCAGTTGGTGAAGATCCGGTTGCTAACAAACAAAAACAAAAACTTCAGCTTCTAAAAGCTAGCAAATTCACCTTACTGACTCAGCTGGTAAAATAGGAGAAAATATTCTTTTAATTCCGTACCCCTCCCCTCCCCCACCTGTTCCTCACAACACAACCCGTCTTTTCTCCAAGTAACTAAAGGAAGCAGGAATTCAAGACAACAACCAGTTTTTACGACGCACTAGTCTCCTATGTAGCAAAAAACGTTCGTGAAGTAGCATGGCGGGAAGACCCAACTAACTAGTAGCGTACCTGCGCTGATTTTTCTTTGCTGTTGTTGTTGCTGTGGTAATATGGGCCTCGTGTTTAGTGTCACAGTAATCATCCCTGAGGGAGGGGAGAGTGGGGTGTCTGGCAGTATAGGCGTTGGTTGCCCAGTAGGGGTACCTTGAGGAGAGGTTTTTGTCTGAATCCGTGCACTTATCGTAGCACCACCAGCTGATTGTATGTGGGTTATTGGCACCAAGTTACCTGGAATCTGTTAAAAAGGACAGCATCCGTCAGGCAAGTTCAATGCATTCTCACATTATTTTGTCTGAGACTGTGCTGGGAGAAAATTCAACGGTGCAACAAACAATGAACTAACGATCCATCGTGCGATAGTTACGATAGTTTTCAATCAACATCTTGCAGCCCTCTTTTCTAACTAAAAGAGGTACATTGTTTCCTGAACTGTGGACTAGTAACGAATACATTCCCAGTGGACGCTCGCTTAACAAAGGCCTAGGGACTCGTTACGAGACATGTGAGTCCGCAGGCGAGAAGGCGATAGAACTAGACCAAGACAACAGAAAAAATGGGGGGAGGGACAAACAAAAGAGCCACTAAAAAAGGGGGGTACATCAACTCCACCCCGCTCCCCCACGAGGGGCCTCGACGGCGCATGAATTTAATCCTCCCCGCCCTATCTAGTGTTTAATCATACACAGAAGGCCACTTCCAGGTAAGAATTCCAAACACATACCTGAAATAAAGCTCTCGCTAGTAATTAGCCAGAATCAAGGCCAGTGTAACCGAGCGAGCACTGGGAATAGTAGAATTTGTCCATGGTTAATAGTTTCTAATTCTTCGCAGACGTCAGTATCGCGATAGTATCGAAATAATAGTACTCCTAATATAGAATACTATTGCAATAGTAGTTAAGCTATCATGATACTATTGTAATAGTCAAAGTGAGCTCAATAGTCAACCCTATTTGTCCTCCAAGTCCTTTAGCTTACGACGTCCTAATTTCGCAAGTGATACCTAAGTTATTTACAGTGAAAGTTGTAGATGGTGATCTTGCTTGATGCACTATCTGTGCTTGTTGAGTTTGTACGGTTGAGGTACCCTGCACACACAAACAAACAAACATAAGTTGGGGTTTAGTTAAAGCATACATCCCCCAACTCACGATAGGGCAGTTATTCACTTTTGCATGGAGCCAGACGGTGGGTTCGATGAATAGACCTTTTTACCGATACGGCGGCCATATTGAATTTATTCGATTTAAGGAGTATGACAGGATGCCTAGGGGGCATGAGCACATTTCGTTTGTATTCTCGAGCGCTTTTTGGGACATTTTTTCTTAAAGTTTTCTTAGAATAAGGTTGTAATGGAAAAAAAGATCCTTGTGCCATGTTTGGATGTAATAATGATCGCCTTTTTCTAGTTTAGTATTAGAAATATGTTCTTTCACTGTATATATTTCTCGGGAAAAGGCGATTATTATTACATCCAAAGAGGGCACAAGGATCTTTTTTCCCATTAGAATTTTATTCTGAGAAAACTTTAAGAAAAAATGTCCCGAAAAGCGCTGGAAAATACAAACGAAATGTGCTCAGGCCTCTTAGGCATCCTATAATACTCCTTAAATGGAATTAATTCAATATGGCAGCCGTATCGGTAAAAAGGCCTATTGCTATGAGGGACTCAATGAGGGACTGTTGGATCATTGTATGGTTCTGGGAAACTGCCCACCTACCCCTCTTCTAAGCCAACATTAACACTTAGTTCTGACTTAGGGCAAAATGTTGGCATAGGGGAGGGGTAGGTGCGCAGTTTCCCAGACTGAGCGTAATATGATTCGGACTGTTTTGGGAAACAAATTTTGACAAAGTTGCCTGTGAAACTTCCAGAAAAAAAATCGATAGCATTCCTGAAATTGTCTCGTATTTCACTCCATTTACCGTATAATTCAACCAGTGTCAACCTTTTTTTGTGCGAAGGCGGTGTGAACAGTATTTGATAAACTCTGCCGGAGGAAGCTGTGGTCTTGAAATTTTCTAGTTGCTTAGTTACTGCTCTCGTTGTTTCTTCTTAAAGGTGGATCTCCTTTGACAGATGACAAGTTACAAGAAAGTCGGTGAGAAGAGGCAAAGAAGTCAGAAATCTGATCCAGANCTTGTGCCATGTTTGGATGTAATAATGATCGCCTTTTTCTAGTTTAGTATTAGAAATATGTTCTTTCACTGTATATATTTCTCGGGAAAAGGCGATTATTATTACATCCAAAGAGGGCACAAGGATCTTTTTTCCCATTAGAATTTTATTCTGAGAAAACTTTAAGAAAAAATGTCCCGAAAAGCGCTGGAAAATACAAACGAAATGTGCTCAGGCCTCTTAGGCATCCTATAATACTCCTTAAATGGAATTAATTCAATATGGCAGCCGTATCGGTAAAAAGGCCTATTGCTATGAGGGACTCAATGAGGGACTGTTGGATCATTGTATGGTTCTGGGAAACTGCCCACCTACCCCTCTTCTAAGCCAACATTAACACTTAGTTCTGACTTAGGGCAAAATGTTGGCATAGGGGAGGGGTAGGTGCGCAGTTTCCCAGACTGAGCGTAATATGATTCGGACTGTTTTGGGAAACAAATTTTGACAAAGTTGCCTGTGAAACTTCCAGAAAAAAAATCGATAGCATTCCTGAAATTGTCTCGTATTTCACTCCATTTACCGTATAATTCAACCAGTGTCAACCTTTTTTTGTGCGAAGGCGGTGTGAACAGTATTTGATAAACTCTGCCGGAGGAAGCTGTGGTCTTGAAATTTTCTAGTTGCTTAGTTACTGCTCTCGTTGTTTCTTCTTAAAGGTGGATCTCCTTTGACAGATGACAAGTTACAAGAAAGTCGGTGAGAAGAGGCAAAGAAGTCAGAAATCTGATCCAGACAGCTTGTGATGACATTGATAGATAATTATACCTGTGGAGAATGTATTTTAAACAAAATATTGAATGAACTGAATGAGGAAAAACGTGAAACATTTCGTGCTAACTATTCTGCAGTTTTACTATTTTTTTAATTTAAAATTGCCTACTCTTATCAGTGTACTTCCAAGATCCCTCCTCAAAAGATTTCGCTGGTGTTTAAAAGAGTTACCTGGTTAGAGAAGCTACATTTTTATTTATGATGGGGATGTTTGATTTGTTTGTTTGTTTGTTTTTGAAACAAAACTATGATTCTTTGCCCTCCCCTCTCTCATTCCCAAATAAGACTTACAACGCGCGACCCTCCCCAAATCTCTAACCGTCTTTCGTTCTCCTAAATTTAATTCTGAAAATAAAACCTTACTTTATAAACTTCCTCTCCAGGGTCGAAAAACAGATTGTTTAAGAGTTATGCTAGAAACATTTAAGTACTATTTTAAACAAGGCTTGTGTTTGCACGACTCCACCCCATTCCTCTCGCTCGATTTCTCGTCTTCACTGCTCAGGGGCGGATCTAGGGGGAGGGTGCAGGGGGTGCGCACCCCCCCTTCTTTACTGAAACGCTTAAAGTTTGTCCACCCTCAAAGTAATATACAAAAAAAAACAAATCCATTAAAAACGCGCACATCTATAGCAAGATTTTATATTTGTCTTTTATCTTAATGTCAATATTCCCAGATGCGGGAAAAACCGCATCTAAGGTCAGAGGGTAGATTATTCCAAATCTAGTTGGATGCCTGTGGGTATTAAGCAAATCAATGTTTTGTGACGCTATAAATGGTTCAAGTTTCCCGGAATCTCAAAGAACAAGAAAGGGCGTTCCGTTGTTGAGCAATCTCTCACAATGGAATCTCTGTTGAGAAACCTCAAAGAACAGGTTACTTGTGCAATCTGTCTGGATAGTTTTGCCGATCCGAAGACAATAACCTGCCTGCATACATTCTGCTGTGACTGTTTGAAGAAACACGCTCTGATCAGCCAAAGGAATGGAAAGTTTCGCTGCCCCGAGTGTCAAGCTGAAGTCGATCTTCCCGAAGCAAACTGTTTCGACAAACTACCGTCTAGTTTTCATCATAACAGGTTGCTCAGTCTTCTCGCTGTTCGACAGAGTGGCGATGGGAACGAAATCATTTGTGGCATTTGCAAGAGAAAGAGCGCAGAGATAAGTTACTGCTTCGAATGCGCTAAATTTATGTGCAGTGATTGTGTAAACGCTCATCAACTGTTTACAAACCTCACTGAAGGACACAAGGTGACGCCAGTCAATCAGTTCCAACCTCAAGACTACGAGGCCCTGATGAAGAGGCAGTCATTTTGCTCACAGCAATATCACGAGCGAGAGATTGTAAGATTTTTCTGCCTCAAATGCAAACTGTGTGTTTGCCAAATTTGCATCGCTACGGATCACAAGTCACACGAGGGCCATGATGTGGAACTACTGGATAAAGTGGCGGACGGCGAGAAAGTCAACATCCTAGAGAGAGCCGAAAATTTAAAAGAAAAGACCAAACTTTACAGCGATGCGATTTTCAAGCTTGAACAAACAGAGCTTGAGCTGCATACAAATATTACTAACGTTAAACATGAAGTTTCCCAGACAGCGGAACAAATCATTGCCAAGATTCGTGAAAGTGAACGCGAGATCATCACCCATCTCGAGAACACGTGCGCGTCTCGATCAGAAATATTAAACTCGGCAAAGACACAAGTACAGTCCTTGCTAAAGCAGATCAACCAAGCAGTCGAGTTTGCTGAACAACTCGTGCTAAAAAGCTCCAGTTCGGACATAATGCAAAGCAAACTAAAACTACAGCAGCGTTACAACGAACTTGAAAACGCTCCCATCCCAGAACTTCCGGTCAGTTCGTTTGTGATGTACTTTCCGAATTTGGAACTAGAAAAATTTAGCGTCGGCTTCGTAGCAACCAGTGAACCGATCATCAAGGGACTGAATCAAGATATCCAAGCTGGTGTTGAATCAGAGTTCGATGTTAACCCCAGAATCCCTAAAGAACAAGAGCAAGGAGTTAAATGCAAATTCCAATGTGAGGTGCTCGTGGAACCCGCTGAGAAGGTAGGAAGTTTGAGAACGTACGAGAATGAAGATGCTACACTAGTGAAGTTTGTACCTAAAGTTCCTGGTACTTTTAATATCACAGTCAAGATATACGGAAAGGTTCTTTCAACCAACACTGTCCAGGTGAAACAACGGCTCATTCAGGTTTTGGGAGAGTTGGAATTAAAACAAGGAACTTCTGAAAAACCGAGAGGGTTGGCTGTCAACAGCAAAGGGCAAATTGCTGTTGTTGACAGCGAAAGACACTGTGTTTTCATAATTGACACGGAAGGAAACTGTCTAAGAAAAGTAGGTTGTCGTGGAAAGAAAGACGGAGAGCTAAACGGTCCAGAGGACGTTACTTACCTTAATGATGATAACATTCTTGTGGCGGATGAAGTAAATCATCGCATTCAACAATTCAATGTTCAAACTGGAAACTTTGTGAAAAGCTTTGGAAAGAAAGGGAAAAGGGGTGGTGAGTTTCAGAATCCTGTCAGTGTTTGTGTGGATGATGAAGGTCGTGTTATCGTGGCTGACTACTTTAACACTAGAGTCCAAGTTTTATCACAAGATGGTGAACCTTTGTTAAAATTTGGAGACAGTGGACCAGAAAAACTAAGCCAACCCAGGTCGTGTGTTTACCATGAGAACAAGTTCATTGTTTCTGACCGGGTTAATAATTGCTTGAAAGTGTTTGATAATACTGGGAAGTTGTGGTACAAGATCGGAGAAGAAGGCGAGGGTGATGGGCAATTGAAATCCCCTAAAGGACTGTGTTTACAGAAATGTCGCAAACACCATAATCTTCTTGTTTGCAATTTTGACAATGGCCGTGTTGATCAGTTTACATTGGATGGTTGTTTCACTGGAAAAACTACTGATAAGTTTAAAACGGGTCCCTCAAGAATAACTACAACACCGGATGGTCTTATTTTAGTTTCGGACTGGAACGCCAATAAAATATATATTCTAAAATAGTATGTAAAAAACCTGTCAAAGAGACAGCTCAAGAGAAGCCAGCCCAAACCGAAAGGGAAACACTGAGATGTACTCACTAAAAAGCTACGTCGTAAATATAAAATACTTCATAGGTAGTTCTGCGCTGCGGAATGGGCGCAGTTTCTGGACATAATACGAGTGAAAAGTTGTTTCGATTCGACAGAGCTGTAAAGTGGAAAATGCATTTCACTAAGTATAGCCAAGAAGATGCATTTGTCTACTCTAAAACGCTGTTTGTCAACTCCAAAATCATTTGTAAACAGTTCACGTCACTTAAAATTTTTGCAACTGACATGAAAAGTATAGATATCTTCAAGTCATACACGGTCCTTTTCCACTTTAGCTACGGAGAACCACCACGCAGGCTTCCACGCCGAAAACACGCCGGCCACCGCAGTGTACTGATCATGCGCATTACGTCAAAATACATGGATCAACGGTCTTGAAAGAAACAAAAACATGGCGGTCGAAGGCGGGATTGTTTCTCACTATTATATTTTGGTAATTCCCAAATTTATTTATTTTATGTCGCTTTTCAGACATAGTGTGTGGTTTTCTTTTTTTGTTAAACAATTTCCCTGTCGATTTAACCTCCAATGCAAATTATCTTTCAGAGCTAACACATCTTTATCAGTAGATGACTCTAGACTTGTACACATCTCTCAGTTATAAATAAAAAAAACAGTCAGCTGGATTTTGAATAAAATAAACGCCTCGGCGTTTATTGAAGATTTGGCTTTTCAAGCGCAGCGTTTAGTCGAAGGCGGCGTTTATTTCAAATCACGTTTTCTTAAATCATTGACATCAATTACGACAAATCATTTTTAAATATCAAGTAAAACAGACAGATGTTTAATCTTTCAATATCTCGCGTTTTTTTTCCGGGCGAGAATCGTTATTGTCCGGTTCATGTACATTACAAAGTAGTGCCGAGTTTTCCTTATAATCCTCGATTAAACGCCGCATTCGCCTTATTTGGTGCGGCTTATATTTTTAACTTTGCTTCCATTTGCGCCGTTAAATCGAGGGTGGCGTTTATTCGACTAATAGAGACCTTTAGATTCGGGAAAGAGAACGACTACGAGTACGAGATTTGATTTAAAGTTTTTTCGCGTGTTGTCAAAAAACAGACACCCCGAAATTCTTCATTGTACTTTTTTTCACCAGAAAAGTTAGCACTGTTATCGTTATTGAAGGAGGTCGAGAGAGTTGAAAAAACTGACCCCCACTCCGCGGACTACCCACTGACCCCACTCCGCGGACTACTCTACGGACTAGTCCGCGGACTACCATGCGGACTACCCTAACTAATCAACCAAATTTACTTTCACGGAGAAAAGAGTTAGAAGAAGCGTACCTGCCTACAAGATCACACTTGATAAACAGCCGCCATCTTGATTTTCGCCATTTTACTCGACCCAGCTCTCCTTTAGCCTCGCCCCAGTCTTCATCGGCCACAAGTCAGAGCACGCCGTTCAGCCAATCGATGACCACTATTGGCGCTGGTAACAGTTTTTGTTATATTCAGCTTAAAAATGTTTTTAAGAACTTACTTATAGCCGTGCTTGGAAGTCACCATATTTTTGGATTCACCTGGCCCACAAGGCCCTTGGAGACGTATTCTCCTACGTAGGGCACGCAGTCGTTATTTGGATCGTCACGCGAGGTTTGGAGAGAAGCGTTGCGTGACGATCCAAGAACGGAAGCTGCAATGGACGTAGCAATGAAGAAGAAGGGCTGGGTCGAGTAAAATGGCGAAAATCAAGATGGCGGCTGTTTATCAAGTGTGATCTTGTAGGCAGGTACGCTTCTTCTAACTCTTTTCTCCGTGAAAGTAAATTTGGTTGATTAGTTAGGGTAGTCCGCATGGTAGTCCGCGGACTAGTCCGTAGAGTAGTCCGCGGAGTAGTCCGTAGAGTAGTCCGCGGAGTGGGGTCAGTGGGTAGTCCGCGGAGTGGGGGTCAGTTTTTTCAACTCTCCCGGTCGAGCCCTTTCCCAATTGCAAAATGCTAAGACTTCTAATATTTCATAACTTGTTCCCGCCACTACGACACTCTCGCTAAAACTTGTAGTAGAGTGAAGACGGCTACCACGTTTTCCCGCCAAAATAACGCTGGTTCACGCGCAAGCACTACTTACTATTGAGGAAATCTCGTACTCGTAGTCGTTCTCGTCTTAGAATCTAAAGGTCTCTAATCATGGTATACGAGTCTACGACGAGTTTTAGTGAGCTTAGTCCGTATTTACATTTCTATTTGTACGGATATATTTTTCTCATGGTAGTTCTAGTTTCTAAATAAAAACTGTTAACTTATATCATATCTGACGCAGCTAAAATATTTTAATATTACTAACTTACAGACTATTTCACTATTTTACATAACAGTGTATGAACAGAAAGGCTCAAATGTCTGGAGTAATTCAAAATAACCCTGTTCATACAATATACGAATGATATTGCATATTGATATGTTAGCGTGATATCTGTACATAGTTTCTGCTGACTAATAAATGTAGATGTAGATGAAGATATTAAATGAGTTTATAAATATCCATGAAAGAAACGGATTCAGACTTTTAGAATGAATTGCGGCGGGCTTCGAATCGTCTTATTGTTGATCTCAGTTGAGGCAACATGTAGTTACGGCTTCAATGGCAAAATCCTCGTTACATATCCCATTTCGCTGCGGTTGTAAAGACCAATTAGAACAGAAAATGGGACTGGCCACCAATAACATGTTCAATGGAGGACAATCAGACGAACTTGTATTTGAATAAATAATCGCAGAGGACAATCATTTGTCGGCCAGCTTTACATGACGATCTTAATATCTATGGGTTTCACTTAAACTTTCAATATATTATTGAGTATTCAGTCTTTATTTATTCTGTGATTTTCTTCTCTGTGCAGGTGACCTTCCCTGTGCTCTTGCTGTTGTTTGGGCTCCTTGTGTTTGTTGAGTTACTTTAACAGTACCTAAGGGCTTGCCTTGAATCTGTAAGAGTGCCAGGAAAAAAAGATTACATATCAGTAAAATTATCCCTTTTATTGAGCTATTTTTGAGCTATTTTGAAAAAATAGCTCATATGTCAGTGGTGTGAGCGTATGTATCTTTGTGGCTTTGTAACTTTGTATGTTCGGATGTTTGTTGCAAGAGCCAATAAGGTTGAAGGTACTATTAGTTG